AAACAACTCTTTTAGAGTATGTAAGTCTGTATTTTTCACACATGATTTCATTATTTCTTGCTCAAGCATCTCGATTTAATTTCTAATTTTAGATGCTTTTTAAATTCAGCTGTTTTTTTCTTCCCATTCTCATCTGGTGTGTGTGTGTGTGTGTCTGACAACATCATCGCTGGAGATGATGTTCGGAAATGACACGTTTCCTCACGACTCAGTAGCGTTCAGCGGGACCGCCAATCAGGGATCGGCTCTGGGATGAGTTGTTGCGATGCGGTGAGACGTCAAGCAGCCACTCCGGTTTGTCGCCTCGTCTCCCCTCCTTACTGCCACTTTGTAAAATCACATTACCCTAATGAGAATAGGAGTGGAACGGCAGTGACAGAGCAGGGATATGGATGGGCTGTGTGTCAAAGGCACTCAGATTTCATCCCTTGCGCTCTCTTTCTGAACTCAGAGCTGGGCCGGGGGTTGGGCCGCATTCCACTCTGTGACATGTCCCTGTCAAGGCTGTTCTATTTGTTTACAGGCTTGTTGTTGTGTACTTACTTAACTGTATCTTTGCACGAAAGGCTAAGATAGACAGTATGATTGTCAGCTTCATTTCAAGAACATGGTTTTAGCCGTATCAAACATGGTAATAGTTGTATCAATGCCTTTATAAGTCTTTTATTTTTCGTTTTAGGAGTGCCAGTGATACTCATTTGTCCATGAGTTTCAAGGATTATCATACATTAAACACAGCCAAACAGTTCATAATGGTTTTCACGATCGTACCTTAACAATGCCATCCATTCATCTATGTTACAATGCAATTTAACATGAATGTTTGTTGAACAGATCTAAGCTTAAAAACGATGCCACTCTGGGTACACTTCTAGTGTTGGTTTTGGACGTTTCAGGGTTTTTGTTTGTAACATGCATTTCAAGTATTTTCACAATGTACTTCCAAACTAAGGTTACTTTCCAAACTAAAATGCTAGTTTACGTTTAGGACACCAAAGTTATTCTTTAGGCTTTGGGAAAATGTGTGGTTTGGGTTCAACTATGTGTGTGTTGTTTAACTTGCTTAAGTTGAGAACATTGAGTGAGTCACTATGATTTGTTTTCGAGCTGGTTACAAACATCTTTCTCCTCGCTGATTGTCCTGATTTTGTTTGACCCAGCCATTCATCAATCCATCCTTCTTCCCTCCCACATGTTCTTCGTGTCCTTCTCACTTTTCACACTGCGACAGTTGCTATGATATCTAATAATAACACGGATGGCTTCACATTGGAGTAAGTTGAAAGCCTTGTGCTTCTAATCTAGACAAGGATTGCTTGGTATCAGAGACTGGGGGGCACCTACCAAGCTAGGTGTTTTACAAGTTAGGAGAGAGAATCTGATGTAACGGATTGGTGATAATAACATCAGTGTTGATTATTGCAGGACTTTTTCTGATACTTGAACTCATCTGTATTTTTGTCTTTATATTTCATTGTTAGCAAATAGTAGATCCCTCTAGTTTTTGCAACTAGGTGTTTTAAGATAGTTATCTAGACATTTTCCACTCTCCATTGTGAATACATTTTGCCATGACAAAACCTACAATATATCATATTGTCCACTATTTTATCAGAAAAAGTAGAAGGAGGTACCGTATTTTCCGGACTACAAGTCTGAGTATAAGTCGTTCTTGTCAAAAAACTTGTCGTTAAGAGAAAAAAAACATATATAAGTCGCTTCGGTGTATAAGTCGCATTTATCCACTGAAGCCTTCATCTTCTGTGTCGCTGTGAAGGTCTCACTATCACAGAGCTAGCTATCCATCCAGTAAACACTTTCAAAGAAACTACGGCACAGATGTCAGCTTTACTGAAACTGTAAACACAATACAGACATGGCACACTGTTATTAACTGCCCGACTGACGAGCTGAACAAACAAAATAATCCACACAGTGAGCTACGGCACATAATACTGATACGCTAATTAGCCTAGCCGCTAAGTCGCTTAGCCACTCGGAATTCTCACTGTATTTATACAGTCGCTGTTAAACACTATCGCCAACTCCGGTGTAGATGAAGCAGCATGTCCTGCTCTGGGCTGTCCTCAGACTTTCCATCAGAATCAGCTCCGATTAGACCTTTTCTGAATCCCGACAGGATGGTGTCGGTCGTCACTGAAGCCCATGCTGTGTCCATCCATCCCACAACATCCTGGAAAGTTACGTGACGCATCCTCCCAGTTGCCGTTGTCACTGTCACTACCCAATCTGCAGCTCTGCCCGATCTGCAGTGCGCATGTGCGAGATGGTCCGCCATATTGGACAACTCCGGACGGCAACCCAAGTAGGACAACATTGACACAATGGCTTTTGGCAAAGCTCAAAAGGAAAACTCGAGAGAGATGAGTTATTGTTATTACAATGTGACTTCACTATTATTTAACAACTTTTTTTATTGGGTTCTTTTATTTGGGGTTAAGTACATTGTCAGAATAAGTGAGCAATGAATGTAACTTCTGTTAGACAGCTATATGCCATACATTTTTGCACACATTCACAGTAAATATGTATTCAGTATGATAGCTGTCTAACAGAAGTTAAATCCATTTCTCACTTATTCTGACAATGTACTTAACCCCAAATAAAACAACCCAATAAAAAGAGTTGTTAAATAATAGTGAAGTCACGTTGTAATAACAATAACTCATCTCTCTCTCGTTTTATTTTTTAGCTTTGCCAAAAGCCACTGTGTCAATGTTGTCCTACTTGGGTTGCCGTCCGGAGTTGTCCAATATGGCAGACCATCTCGCACATGTGCACTGCAGATCGGGCAGAGCTGCAGATCAGGTAGTGACAACAGCCGTGACTTTTCTCTTCTTCGGTGGTACAGCAGTTTTCAGTTATCAAGATTGTATATTGTGCCACCTATTGGCCGGAGTTTGAACGCAATATATAAGTTGCTTCGGAGTATATGTCGCAGGACCAGCCAGACCGGTGAATGTGACTTATAGTCTGGAAAATACGGTACATTAGACTTCCTCATTGTCTAAACTCAAGAACATACTGTACAGCAATGCATCCTGTGTGTTTTACAGTATACACACGTTTAACACAGCTTCAAACAGTATGATTTGCAGCAGCTTTCAGGAAAAGTGGATTTACTGGATGTAAAGGGAAGGTCAGTGCTAGCTCCTGAAGTGACTTAAGTGGACATCAAGGTCATGATCAACTTCAGTCGTGATACCATGGGCTTCCTATCTGCAGACGCACACACACACACACACACACACACACACACACACACACACACACACACACACACACACACACACACACACACACACACACACACACACCACACACACACACACACACACACGCACCTATGGCCAAGGCCTGATTCTGACTGACAGGACAATTTCTCCCACCTCCTTCATTAGGCCATGGACTTTGTAGTAAAATACGCTGCTCCCTCCCTCAGTCTCCATTACTCTGCTGGTCCGACTCACAGCGAACACACACACACACACACACGGCACTATCAAACACATTGACTCAGACAAACACATGTTGATGCCAAAACATCATATGCAGGAGGGTAAATACACTTTGGAACAAGCAGACAAGCCGATAACACACACACGTAAGCAGCCGGACTTACGACACACACACACACACACACACACACACACACACACACACACACACACACACACAGTAAAACAGATGGAGGTCCTGGAAGGTGAAAGTTTATGTGACTCACTAGGCTTATTAGAGGGACGGAAATCTAAAAGTAATTGGCTCCTTTTACTTCCTCCTTCCTGTGGATTTACGAGCTTCTCTGCGAATGACTGGCAGCTTCTTTACTACGGTCAAACACTGAAGGATAAACTCACCCTGCCAAGAGTGTGTGAGAGCATTAGTAAGCGTTGTGTGTGTGTGTGTGTGCTGGATGCTAATGTGTGGATGGAGACGCGTGGGGTGACTCGCTGAGACTGAAATCAACCTTACAAATGTGACGTGAAGCTTGAGTACATTTGAGGCTGATTTAGAGTGCCAGCGCTGTGTGCCGAGTGGCTTCTTCTACAGACTCCCAGAATGCTCGGGGTGTGTGTGCGTTGGACAGTTCCTCCATCAAGTTTTCTGCCTGGGAAAACACTGCTTAGCCTATTAGCACTCCCTGTAATGCCCCCTCTTTCGCCCCTAATCTGCACAACATGGCTGTCTAAAACAAAGCGAGACGACTTTGTGGACACTTCGCTTCTCGCGATTTAGAGTGGCGAACGAAACATAAGCATTACCATCCTCCAGTCAATTATTCATTGATAACCTATTTATTTTGTACCTTTAGTGTCAGTCAGAACGGTCGGAATGTGCATTAATTCATCTTTAATTAATCTGCGCACACAAAGGTGCCACAACACACACATCTAGTTCTGGTAACTAATGTATTATGTTTATAAGGCGGCAGATATGTATTATTCAGCGCTGATGTGGGTGGAGATGGGGCCCCATCATTGGATATTACTGTGTCACATTACTGTCAAATGCAGAGGGACTTAAAGGGGCCAGCAAGCTTCATTAGAGGTGGCGGCAGGCGGGAAAAAGGGAACAGTCAGGCGACGAGATGGGAATAGACTGACCGCAGAAGTAGAAACATCTACTGGAGCCCCTACGGCAGGCGAGGCTGAAGGGATTATGGGCGATGTTCAGGGCGACTGCAAAGCCACCGATTCTCCTGGATTTGACGTGTCATAGAGGATAAGAAGAGACATCAAAGTGGAAAGGGTAAAAGCATAGCCGCGGACTCAGCTTAATGCTGGACTGGAAGGTCACTCATGAAATATACAACATGGTCACAACACCACGAAGCGAACCGCAAAATTAAAACTGTAGATTGAAGGATGTACTTAATATGACAACTGCCTGACGTTAATGGCACATTAAATGCAGCACTGTGTTTCCTACTAACGGTGCTACAAAGCAAACCTTAACAGCTTTCTTGGAGCTGGTGAGGATCATCTCTGAAAAGGGAAGCACACTTTAGAGTCATAAAGGCCATGCTATTTATGGACACATTATAAACAAGGTACTTTACTCTGAAATGCATTTAATCTGGACCATTATTTACCCTTTGTCATATATCTGTGTTTATCATATCTTACCTATTTTATGTTAAGACTAAAGAAATACATGTTTTCGACCATTTAGTAGTTAAGGTAAGATTAGGTTACTTTTTTTAAGGTATTTGGTAAGTGTTCGGTGAGTTAGGGTAGGTTTTATTTTTGTTTGCAAATGTTTCTGTATTAATACATAAAATATCTCCAATTCTACATATGAGATGTATCTGAAATACTTGTTTTCCATTGGATTTTTGAATATTGCAGACAATAACGTCTGTGGTCAACACATTTTTATGATACTTACCACGTTGTGAGGATCCACAGTGCCGCCTTCCTCTTTTTCCTGTGTTTTTGTCTGTCTGTCTTCCTGGCTGGGCGTGGCTGACCTACATTTGGATTTTCGTCTCCACACCGCTCCTGCTGTTGTTCATCTCACTGATTGCCACTACTCACCTGCACCTGTTTAAAACCTTGGTTCTCATCCTCAGTCTTCGCCAGTTCTTCGTTTATTCTTCAGTGGTAAACTAACATCCAGGCCTACTCAGCATTTTTGCCTAGTAACTTGTTGATGCTCCTAGTGAGAGGATTTACCTTACTAACCCTGCTTCTTTCCCGTTCCAGATCCACACACCTGCCGCTCCGCCTGCCACGTCCAGCCACCTCCCTGGTGTCCTGCTCTTCGTCTCCACTCTCTGAGCTCCTCGTCCCGGTCTGAACCTCGATTCCAGGAATCTCCTTCAGCGTCCTCTCCAACTCAAAGACTGTGCCTTGGTCTAAAATAAAGCCCATTTTTGACACTTCACCACTGTTTCAGTCTTAGTGCTTGCATAGCAGGTTCTCATCTCCAGTCATTCCACGTGAAGCCTAACAGAAGAACTGGCCAAGAATGAACCCCGCAGGCACTGGATCGGATCCCGCCACAGTCCATCATGCCCTGTCTAGTCAGGGTTCCCTTCTGGGTCAACACGACCAGCTCATTCGGGCGTTAGTCGAGAGTAATCAATCCATGGCTTATCATGTCTCAGAATTAGCTTGCCAGATCTCTGCTCTTACTACCTCGGCTGCTGCTTCTCATGCCACTCCCAATCCTGCTCCTGTTTCAACTCCACGCCAGGATTTCCCCATCACCGACCCTGAGTCATTCCACGGAGAAGTGGAGAAATGCAGAGAATTTCTTTTTCAGTGCAACAAAGTTTTTCGCCAGCATCCTGTTTCGTTTGCAGCTGATGTCACCAGGATTAATTTAGTGGGAATGCTGTTAACAGCATTCCAACTATATGTTATTTTACGGACGAAAAGTTTATTATTATTATTCCGCCGGTATTTTGCACCTCTTCTCCTCCCGCATTGAACATCGCAGAAACATCAAAACGTTCAGCTCGGTCGGGAATCGATGGCTATTACTTTTCTCATTCATAACTTTCATAATTCCAGAGATACATCCATTACATTACATTGCATTTAGCTGATGCTTTTATCCAAAGCGACTTACAGTAAGTACATTCGACCAGGAAGACACAACCTTGAAGAAAACAGAATCATATAAGTACATCAGGTTTCATAGAGCCAAACATTTCAAGTGCTACTCAACTGGCTTTAGGTAAGCCAGTCCTTTATTAGTATAAAAGTGCTTCGTTAATAGTTCTATCGCTCGAAGTGGAGTCGAAAGAGATGAGTTTTCAGTTTGCGCCGGAAGATGTGCAAGCTATCTGCCTTCCTGATGTCAATGGGGAGCATCCCATAATTCATCACATTTTTAATGGCGACCGAAGGTTAGCTTGTGGTTCAGTCTGTGGACAGTTAAGCTAGCCCGGCTACTGATATTTTTGAGATGTGCTCCGAAGCGAGAAGAGGTGTTTGAATGACGCTGCGACGTAGCGCAAGCTACTTAAAGGGTGGGTGGATTCCCTGACGTAGTCGTCAAGATTACCAGCCAATCAGGATTGGCGTAATGAGATTGATGCTTCTGATGCATACGCGTTGAGGCGCATCCCATAGTGAGTGTTATAAATGAGAACTTCAAATTTGCCTTCATATATTTTTTTAAAACTGCCATAATTCCCAAACCCTACAGTACATTCCTGAGACATCATTTTCATGACAAACGTAGGAAAACATCTCGTAGCTTGAAAAATGACAGATATTTAAGCAAAAATAATTCAACAAAATGCCTCTTGAGGGCATGAAGTGACAACAACTTTCAACATGCCTCCATTAAAGCCCATTGTAATTTCAGGCTGATATTTCCTCACGGCAGCAGCCGCACACCTTTAGTTAAACTGCCAAAAAGGCCACATTATTAACCCGAAACTACACAAAAATTACACTTCAGATACTCAACTTCCTTGACATGCTTCCCGTTTTGAAATTTCACAGATATCTGTTACGGTTCTTCCACAAAACGTTCACATGTAGGAGGTTTATCTCTCATTCAGAACAATGGAAACCTTTGATCTCTGCACACCTCGTTAGCTCAACTATAAACACCTGTGTCATGGAACACGATGATGTCATCACTCCAACTGACATGCTCAGAGCAGCAGACTTCAGATAGCAGTGTGCTAACAGTCCAGCCGTGAAGACATCTACGGGACAGTTTTGAGAGTTGCCGTTGCCATGGCAACACATTGCTCGCCTTGAAACACGGTTTTCTCATAACTTCAGTGAATATACTCCAAACAGCCCAGAACTTCACAGGTATGGTAACGATGCAGCCATCAACGCATCTAAGCGTAGTATGGGGTGTCATCAAATGTTGTTGCCATGGCGACAGACCACTCACCATGAAACAGGATGTGGCTGTAAGTCCAATCGACACGGTCCAATCGTCCCCCAATCTTCACTTGTATATCACCGGTCCATGCCTCAACAGCTCGACGCCAAATCTGAGATCTCACCATATGCCGTTTCTATGGAAACGCATCCCTCGCTATAACTCCTATGCAAATGTTCAAAAAGTGCTCAAACTTCACCTGTGTGCTAACAGTCCGGCCGTGAACACATCTACGGGACAGTTTTGAGATTTCTTCAAATGCCGTTGCCATGGCAACACAATGCTCACCATGAAACACGGTTTTCTCATAACTTCAGTGAAAATGCTCCAAACGTCCCACAATTTCACAGGTTTGGTAACGATGCAGCCATCAACGCATCTAAGCGTATTATGGGATGTCATCAAATGCCGTTGGCATGGAGACAGATCATTCCCCATCAAGTTAGTTCAAAAGTTTGCAGTTCAAATATTCTGCTGCTTTTCCAAGCCTTTTTAGTTTATTTTCTTCTCTTATCACACATTCAAGCCCCCTGTGTTCATGTATCATTTCAATCTAAATTATTCACTTTCTTCTGACACATTACATTTCAGCATAGCAGTTTAGCGTCAGATTTTCAGCATAAAGCATTCCCACTAGCAATTTCTTCAGGAATTACATTCTCTAGTTATGTTCTGAGTTTGCTCCGTGGCAAGGCTTTAACCTGGGCAGGGGCTTTGAGCTCATCGGTGGATTATGACTCTCTGCGTTTTGAGTGTTTCTCAAATCAGTTTTCTGCCGTTTTTGATCATCCCAATTATTCTGGCTCCGCCGCTAATCAGCTGTTCAGTTTTCCTGATGCTGCCCACTCCAAGGTCCTACAGTGGGTCCACAGTTCCCGGTTCTCCATCCATCCAGGAGTTAACCGCACGCGCTCCCTCCTTAAGAGGCACTTCTGGTGGCCAACTGTCAACAAGGACACTCAGGAGTTTGTTTCTTCCTGTCCCACGTGTGCTAGGAGCAAGTCCTCCCACCAAACACCTGCAGGGTTGCTCCAGCCTCTACCCATCCCTAACCGCCCCTGGTCACATATCGCCTTGGACTTTGTTACCGGCCTGCCTCCCTCCCAGGGTAACACCACTATTCTCACCATTGTTGACCGGTTTTCTAAATCTGCCCATTTTGTATCCCTGTCGAAGCTTCCTTCTGCCCATGAGACCTCCCAACTCCTCACTGAACACGTTTTCCGTCTGCATGGAATCCCTTCTGACATAGTCTCTGACTCAATTCACCTCTCGGGTTTGGAAAGAGTTCTGTCAATCTCTTGGTGCATCTGTCAGTTTAACATCCGGTTATCATCCCCAGTCAAACGGCCAAATTGAGCGAACCAACCAGGGCCTGGAATCAGCCCTCCGCTGCATCGTTGACCGTAACCAGAGATGGGGTCGTTACTAAAAAAAGTAATATATTACATATTACTTTTTTAAAAAGTAATATATTACACTACTTCGTTACTCTCTACATAAAGTAACTCGTTACTTTACTCGTTACTTTACTCGCAGGGCCGGCCCGCCCGCCCTTACCTACAGGCAGATCACGCAGACTGCGGCGCACCTACAGTGTGCGCGCCACAGTTTTGCCTCTGCGAAACTCCACTTGCACCCCCAATTACTATTGCATTAAGGAAGACATAACACAAGTCTTTCTTTTTATATGCTCTAAAATAGGCTACCAGCCACACAACAAGCTAACAGTCAAGACACTAATGAATTAAACCAGTTCAAGACGCATTATTCTTATCATTCTTTATGAGCGCAGTAACGGTAAGGTATATAATTACTTATTTATTTAGTATTCCATAACTTAGTAACAGAGATGGTCAAACTAAAGTGGTAGAGACATGGCAGAATTCCTACAATGAAGCGGGACATTGAACTGTTCACCCGTGAGAGGGCGATCAACAAAAGAGAGCGAGCGCCCTGTTGAGGGAGTTTACAGATGAAAAGACTCAGCCATGTTTATGCAGCACTGCACGTGGAGATGTGGTCTCGCAGATTACATAGGCCTACATGTATATAAACCATAGACTGTAAACCTGCGGCGGAAACCCCTCTTGTCTGTCAGTGAGTGTGATTATTTTATAAAAGTAACGAAGTAACGCGTGGCGGGGCAATGTTAGTAACTGTAGTGTAATTACTAAATTATAAAAGTAACGCGCTATACTACTCGTTACCGGCAAAAGTAACCCCTCAACCTGGAGCTCACATCTTCCCTGGGTTGAGTACTCTCATAACGCTTTAACCTGTTCTGCTACTGGTCTCTCCCCGTTTGAAGCCTCTTTAGGGTACCAACCGCCCCTGTTCCCTGAAGAGGAGAGAGAGCTAGCAGTTCCTTCGGTCCAGCAGCATGTTCGTCGTTGCCAGAAGATCTGAAAAGACACTCGCTTTGCTCTCCTCCTGACTTCTGCCCGGAACCAACAGTCAGCCAACCGCCACTTCAGTTCGGGAGAGCGGAAGTCGACCTGTTCGCCAGCCGGCGCAACAGCCACTGTGCCCTGTGGTTCTCCATGGCTCTGAGCGACGATCCGCCCTTGGGGGTGGACGCGTTCGCACAATGGCCAAGCAAGCTGCTCTATGCCTTTCCACCGCTGTGTCACATTCTCCCTCTCCTGGGGAGAGTGAGGCGAGAACGTCTGTCAATCATCCTAGTAGCACCGGACCGCGTCTGGGCACCGTGGTACTCAGAGATGACACAGATGAAGGTGGGCCAGCCCTGGGCAATTCCCCTGTTCTGGGGGGCGATGTCTCAAGAGGCAGGTGCAATCGGGGTGTTACCCACTCTGGGCCAACCTCTCCAGGCTTGTCTCCTGAGAGGGACAGGCTAAGACAGGGTGGATTGTCTGACAGTGTTATTCAGTCTATCCAGGCAGCTAGCGCTGAGTCGGATGCCCACTGTGGGTCAGTGGGCATCCGACCCCCTCCCCGGGCGTAATGCGCTTACGTTTCCCCGGGCCCGGGAGAAAC